CCAGATCGAATTTCTAATCGAAACAATTGGGCAGGGGCCTTCGCTCGCTCGCTCGCTCGACAAACTCTCTAGCGCGCCCGCGTCCCTCTCGTTTCTCTTCTCTCTGTGTGTTTCGCCCACGTCCCTTCAGCTCAGGTTCCCGCCAGCCCAACACGGCCTCCCTCGCCAAACCTCACATCGCATCCCTCCCACACAAAGCCCTCCACACACATACCCCCCCCCTCTCTCTCTCTCTACACTCCCCTCTCCCCTCCCCCCTACTCCTTGACCATTCCTCCGCCGTCCGACAGCTGCATTCCCCCCGTGTCGCCTGCGCGCACTCTGCCTGCACTACTTTCCTTGCGGCCAGGCCCATCGTCGCGCTAATTGCTCGCACTCCTTCCCTCTTATCCACACCCTTGGGGCCTCAGTTTTCGTCAACCTCCAGCAGCGCATTACGACGTTTCGCAGCTGTTTTAGCCCAGGCAGCCCTCGCCCTCTGCGCCGCCCACGACAGTCTGACAACATTCGGTCCGGTCTCTGACGCATTTGGCCAACTCTCGCCAAGTCGTCGCATTTGGACGTCTTGCACGCTTCGACTCGCCTCGGCCACGCTTCTTTGTCCCCCAACCCTCTGTTCCCAACCATTGCCACCCCCGCCGCCATACCTGACGTCAAAGGGAAGAATGGCCGGCGGGCCTAGTCCGAGCAGTACGAGTCCCTCCAATCTGTCCAACAGCCCTTTTCCACGCGGCTCTCTGAGCAGCTCAACTTCTTCCTCCCCACCCAAGGCTTTTGCATCTCACTCCACCATGACGGCTGACGTCTTCTCGCCGTCGCACTCGTACGGCATGCCCGGCCCCATCGGAGAGCGCAGGCCGGCAGAGAAGAATGCCCTCTCTCTCCTCTCCTTTAGCGACGCCGACACCCTTCCCGAAACCAAAGGGCGCCATCACACCATCTTCTTGCGCAAGCTTCCCAGCAACAGCGATCGCGAGGCTGTGCGCAACATCCTTCTGTTTGCCAAGGACCTGGTGGATTGCGAGCTGGTGCCCTCTTCTCGCTTCCCCGATGACCAAGGCTTCGCATCCGCCGTCGCCCATTTCCAGACCCTCGAGGGCGCAAGGGAGGCGCGCGACCTCCTCAATGGGAAGCGCAACGCGACCAAGGATGCGACACTCATCGTCGAGCTGTTGCACGAGGGTCAGCCAGGCGCTATCGGCTCACGGCGCAACACTGTGGACAGCGGATCGACACGACAAGGACCCATTGCCACTGCACCTCCCAATGGTCGACAATCCTCTCGATACAACGGGACTTTTCAAAACATGGAGAAGATGTCTCCACCCAACGGAACCCCGGGTCTTGGCAACGGAGAATTCCCCGTCAACAATCTCTTCTCCCCGACGTCTCCTGTCAACACCACCTTTGCCAGTCGCAACCTGGGGAAATCGGTCATCAATGACGAGGCCGACGATGATGACGGCTTGCTCAGCGAATCCTTTGGATATGCTTCCAGCGGCCCAGCCGTACAGGCTAATGTCCAACGACGGGCTACCAACCCCAACTCAGCCATGCCTGTATCTCGATTCGCATCGCTCTCGCTGAACACCAATGGCGTCAACGGCATGAGTCCTCCGCCAGTGTCCAATTTCACATCACCCAGATCGGGAGCCAACATGCAGTCGCCTGGTGCATCGCTTTCTGCCATGTCTCCTCATGCTATTCCATCCGCCCTGAGCAATGGCCCGAACACGGGATACCAGCAGTACTCGCAGCATTTTGCACGTCCGACTTATCCTCCTGTCAACCCTGCGGATCAAAACCCACCGTGCAATACGCTATACGTTGGCAATTTGCCCATGGATACCTCGGAGGACGAACTCAAGGCTGTCTTTTCTAAACAGCGTGGATACAAGCGTCTTTGTTTCCGCACCAAGCAGAATGGACCCATGTGCTTTGTCGAATTTGAAGATACATCGTTTGCTACCAAGGCTCTCAATGATCTCTACGGATACATGCTGCACAACAGCGTCAAAGGTGGTATTCGATTGAGCTTCTCCAAGAACCCTCTGGGTGTGCGAAGCGGACAAAGCGCTCCCATGGGGCCATCATCCGCCATTGCACCCTCGACCCCTCTTTCGGGCTTTGGAAATAACGTTGCGGCTCCCCCCGGCTTTTCCACGGCTACCGGCCCACCCCCAGGCTTGTCAGCTCCTCCAGGGCTCTCAACCAATGCCCACACCAATGGTAGCTCTGGTTTTGGAATGTACTCTAATGGGGGCTTTGGCATGGTGCCGAACGAGATGGCCAGCCCTCTGCGCCAGCCTCTTGCTACCAACGTTTCTGGAAACGGTTTCAGCAGCATGGGTGGCGCCTACTCGGCCTACATGATGGGACGCTGAAGAGGACGACTTCAGGCTGCTATGCTATCACGATTGACGATCTAGGAGTTTGGGGTCATGTCGTCACTGAGCATCTGCAGAATTTTTGCTCCATCAGTTGTGTTTATGTCCTGTCACTTCTGTCATTGCACGGTGTTGAGTTGTTTGGTTGAATATTGGTTTTCTTTCCTTATCTTGAGCAGGGGCATGGGAACTGGCGCGGGAATCTCCTCCTGGACGTTGTGTCCGTTTGGCTTGGGCTGCATTTACCAGCATACAGCGATGATTCCCCCTATGTGCGACTTCTTTGTATTTTTTTTCTCTCGCCGCGTTTTCTACGCGGTTCGGGCGTCTCAGGGGTTCGAGGTCTTCCATCTTTCCTTTTATTAGACACGCGGTGCTGTTATGAATTTACTGGACTGTCATGTTCCGGATCAACGGGTTCGGGATGGCAATCCGGAAAGACTATAGACAGTGGCGCGCACGGGGTTATCACTTGTGCTTCATTGCTGAGCATCATTTACCACTGCGGACCTCTTGGGGGGCTTCGATATACAAACTGTGTGTAGCGACACCTTTGCTTGTCCCTCCACCAGACGGTGTGTATGTTATCTTCCTTGCTTGTGTGTGGCTGGGTCACACACGGCAGAGTAAGGGCACGATGGGGGAGCGCTTCACTGCATATTGGCTAATTGTTTGCCACGCTTTTCGTCTTCTTTGTTCCTTCTTCCTTTTCGACACTGCAGGGCCTTGAGCGCATTTTACGCTTAACGGGCTTTCTATGCTCCACGGGCATACCTGGAGCAAATCTCTGTCCTTACCATCATCTTTGTGCATCCTTGCCCCATGCATCTTGGCTTTGCACAGTAATTTCTCGCATTGTATCACGTGTTCCTGACTGTTCTTTTTGGCTTTGGCCTCCTTATAGGTTTAGCAATAACATCTGACGGTTCTGGGATTTTTGGCAGCGTAAAGAAAGTCGAGTTTGGAAGATGTGCAAATTGGCTTATTATGCCTTATAGTTCTTGGGTCAAGCCTGGCTTGTAAGGCAGTGAAGCTAGTTCGACGTGATATACTTGTAATTTTCATTGTTTGCTGTTTGAGGCTCTGAGGATGTCGGGTGTCGGGTATGTTGCAGTCGGTGAAAGAACGTCCGTGATTGGCCAGGCAATGCTACGCTCAATGCCAAGCGAAGCTAGGCGCATTTGCGCGAGCATTGAAAAGGCGAATTTCAACCGTGAAGCGCAACCCGTTCATCCCAATTGCCTCGCACAGCACCTGCCACCCATCATTGGCTCAATGCGATAGCATTGCACGCTCTCCACAATGCCACCTCGGGTACGCTCCGCCAGATTTGCCTGCTCGTCCACAATCGCCCCCTCACGTCCTAGCTCGTGCCCGTCAGCGCGGCCACAACATATCACATTGCCTCTACAGCCATCACGGCAATTTTCACATACCCCATGCCACCAAGTCACATTACGGCGGCGGAAGTTCTACGAATGGATGAATGGACCGGGCCGGGCAGTGAAGGACCCTCTACCAGGTTCCACCAATTACCTAGGAGCATACGACAAGTATGGTAATCTAGTTCGGGCAGGTCCGGGATGGCGGAGAGGCGGAGATGCAGCATCTCAGACTCAATCGCAGTCTGCGAATCCAGAGTCCAAGGATGAGAAGGCCGCCGAGGGAGCTGCGCCATCTGGCCAAGAAAACCTCGACGACCTGGAAGCAGCAATACGGACAGGCGAGGCTGAAGCTCGAGATGCTAAGCCATCGAAGAAGTCACAAGAGGACGAGAATAAGCTGCCACCAGAAACCGCGGAAGATTTGCGCCCGTTTCCAATAAATCCATATTTTCGCAGTCAGCCAGTGCTGAGTGAGGAGCTGCGGGAAGCAATATACCAGCGAGTTAAGAAGGATGGCGCAACCGTATCGCTTGCTAGTGTCGAATTCGGTGTCAGCAATGAGCGTGTTGGCGCTGTTGTGCGGTTAAAGCAGATGGAAAAGGAGTGGATTGCAAAGGTATGTCTTTACAACTTTTCTCCATCCCCCTCGTATGACATGATGAGACTTCTTAAATTCGATTAGTCTTTAAGACATCTACATGGTTACAAAACTTGAAGTCATGCTCTTCCTGATCGTCATCAATCCAGCTCAGTCCTTTTCACGTATGACATAGATGAGGGAGGGCACTGCTAACGCAACATCCCAGGGCAAAACCCTCGCCACCCCTTACAGCAAAGCCGTCCTTTCCATGCTCCCAACAACTCCCCACGTCGATAGCTCTGACCCCAAGAATAAAGGCAAGCGCCCCATTACGCACGAGCCCATCAATGACCTCATTGTCCACCCCGCGACGCGTCAACAACTCTTCGTTCCCGTAGCCGAGTCCCGCCGGTTTACGCGCGTCGATGCGGGCAAAGCTTTTGACAACGACCTCATGCCAGCCGACTTGCGCATTCCACACCCGGAACTCGTTCAGGCGGAACGCGAACTTGAGTCAGGTCTCTCATTTGACGAGCGTCGGAAGCTCGCCGAAGAGCGCTTCGAAGCCGAGGCGGCTAAGAAGGCTGCTGAGCAGAGGAAAAAGGAAGAGGAGCTGCGGAGTTTGAAGGTCATTCCCCAACGGAGATGGGATTTCGTATTCAAGGATGTCAGGGTTGAAAGCGCTGGGAGGGATGGCAATGGTACCGAGGCGGCAGGTTGGAGATATGGGGTCCCGCACCAGGATAGGAAGAGGGGGGTTCCCAAGATTCCTACGAGGGTGGAGGCGTAGGACTGTATATTGTATTGCATGGCGTGTAATTGTACATGATATGATGATGATGATGATGACAAAGGGGGTCTCTATGCACCATGGATGCTAAATATGCATTGGCTGCATTTTGGAATGAAAATACCCTTTTCGCTTTGCACAAACATTGGGAAATGGATTGATGTCTGTGTAGAATGACTGGCCGCCCCATCTGCCATTAGCTGATGTGCACATGTGATGTCGACCTCCAAACCAGCCCCTTGTTCCTATTCACCGATACTGCATCTTCTGGCCTCCTCTCTTCTCCATCTTCGCCTGTCTTTTGCTCGCCACCTCCGGCTGCGGTACCCCCGCTGCATCCGTGTATCCTCCTCGCATGCCCGTGTAGAACCCCCATGCCGCATAGGCAGAGTACATGGGCACTGCAACCCAAAACATCCAGGCCCAGTCGCCCAGTAAGGCGGCGAGTACAATGCACCCATAGGTCCAGTAGACAACGTCCCACATGTACTCTGTCAGCCCCTTGGCATCCAGATCCTCTCCTGGACGCTTGATGGCTCCATCCGGCGTGAGCGTGGGGCGAGAGAGGCGTTCAAAGTAGAATTGGATGAATAGCTGCGGGGCAGAGAGGGCGAGATAGAGAAGCAGGGAGCGGCGAGTAAAGGACGAGCGGAAGAGGGCGGCGCGCAGGAACCAGAAGAGGATGTGGACGAAGATGGTGATGTACAGGGTCTGGTTGAGGCGTGCCGTGTTGGCCGCGGCGAGCGTCTTGGTGGCTTTCTAGAGGGAGAGAGGCGGGGGCGATGAGTCTGGAGGTAGATGGGACGGTAGTGTAATAGGGGGTCTATTTACCTGGGCCATGATGGTGAGTGAGACAGTGGCAGATTGGTAGGTTGGAGGGTTGGAGAAGATGGCATTGTCCATGTGGGTAACTGTTTTTTTCCGTTTCCACCCGTGCGCTTGTCCACGTTCCGCTCGAGCAAGACAGCCGCGGCGGTCTACGCGCCAAACTGCAACTGCAACTACAATGCCAATTAATAACAACAACAACAACAACGAACATCACCCGTCGCCTGCCCTTCCTCTCTCTCTCTCTCTCGCTTCGCCGCCCAGCAGTTGCCTCACCAGAGCTGCCACTCGATCAGCCTTTACCTTTGGGACCCTGTGCGCGAACGAATCGGGGCTGCGTGTTTGCCAATTCGCTTTGTCGAGCACGCCGCAAGCGTCAGTCACCTAGCAACAGCTAAGAAAACAACACCGACGTCGACATTCACCGAGGCACGCGCCTGCCGTCTTTTGATCGACGACTACAACAACAACAACAGCCACTCCTGCTCTCTTTTGTCGACGCTCCAGCTCTCACGCTTGTCTCCGCGCCCATGTTTACACGGCCGTAGTCGATTTGAACCCAGCTCGGCGGCTCCAGAAACTCCCTTGGTGGGTGCACTCAGCAGTGACGGCAGATAGACACACATATACACACAACTTCAGGCACCTCGCCTGCCCGCCCTCTCGCCATGACGCCGCCAGCGGGCGTGACGGCCCAGCTGCGCCAGCTGATATACTACCACCTCGACAACGGCTTCCTGGAAAACGCCCTCTTTCTCGCCGGTCGTCTGCATGCCCATGAGCCCCGCAGCCATGACGCTTCGCATCTGCTTGCCCTGTGCAGTCTGCGCCTCGGCCGCTACAAGGCGGCCTTTGACTACGCACGCGCAAAAGGCATGCATCTGCAGCATCTGGCGTGTGCCTACGTCTATGCCCAGGCCTGTCTGGCGCTCGAGCGCCACGAGCTGGGGGTCCAGGCACTGGAGAAAGTCAGGGGACTGTGGATGGGACGAAACCACTGGAGTAAGCTCTGCCTTGGATGCACTTTATCCACGTCCAGTGGAAGGAACTGCCTGCTAATAAACCCCCCCAGACAAACACTCGGAGACCTCGCGACGACATGTCCCAGACGCCGCGGCCTGCTACTGCTTATTGGGGAAACTCTCGGCCGCGCACGGAGACAGCAAAAAGGCAATTGAATACTACGTCGAGGCGCTCAAGATCAATTCCTTCATGTGGGATGCCTTTACGGGGCTTTGCGACACGGGTGCGGTGGTGAGGCCGCAGAACATCTTCCAGATCACTCCAGACATGCTGGCATCGATATCGCATGCTGCCGCAGCCAATGGACACGCCCACCACGTAGCCGCGCCGCAGGAGAGCCATGATGGCCGCAATCCCTTTGTCTCGACGCCAAACGTGGACCCCTTCAATCCGCCCTCGCGCCAGGTCGGCGATGTTGGACTGAATCTCCGAGGCTCGAACCTGCTATCAAGGCTGAATGGGAGCAACCAGCCATCAAACGGTCTCGGTGGCGCATCCCTATTTCACAGCATGGACACTCCGGTCGCAAACGGCCAAAACGTACATGATGAAGATGCCATGATGGGCGAAGGAGGAGGTGCTGTAATGCACGATCACCCAGACATGGCACTCGCACCTTCACGAAAGCCCCGGACGCATGCTTTCAATGCGGCAGAGGAGCCACCACGCATGCGGCCAATCACCTCGAGGATGCGCACCAAGACGAACCCAGAGAGTAGTGACCAGACCGACATACCGAGGCCGATTAACCAAAACGGCCATAAGAGGACCGTTTCAGGTCACTCATTACAACAACCACAACCGCCAAATGCGCCACCCCACGATCCCACTGCGGCTCCGCCCCGGCGAAGCGTGCGACTACTCAACTCGATAAGCCAGTCCGTTCAGACTCGCAGTAGCAGACTAGGTGGCACGTCAAGCAGGGATGCAGAGTCTCAGCAGCGACGGGAGCTGAGGAGAACCAAGACAAGCACGACCAAGTCTAGGTCAGGGACTACGTCAACCGTGGGGAGAGTCGTGAGTGGCAATAGGAAGCCCCATGTGGACGACAAAGAGTCGGCCAAACCCGAGTCAAGACCAGCAAGCGCAGCGGCCGTTGCAGCACCACAGCCGAGAATGGCCCCTCCGCCAATAGATGCGAATCGAGAGCGAGACGCCATCAACTGGTTGCTGGAATTACTTCACAACATTGGAAGCGGGTACAAGCATCTGAGTCGATACGACTCCACCAAGGCAATAGAGGCCTTCATGTCAGTGCCAAAAGCCCAACGCGACACACCTTGGGTACTTGCACAGATTGGGAAAGCCTACTACGAGCGCGCGCAGTATGCAGAAGCAGAGAATGCGTTTCGAAGGATACGAGAAATCGCGCCTTCACATATGGAGCATATGGAAGTATACTCCAACACCCTCTGGCAACGAAAGGAAGAGGTGGCCCTAGGCCATCTGGCCCACACACTCATGGACCAAGACCGTCTTTCACCACAGGCCTGGTGCGCTCTTGGCAATGCAAGCTCCCTGGATCGTCAACACGACGATGCTGTGAAATGTTTCGCACGTGCTACGCAACTCGATCCAAAGTTTGCCTATGCTTTTACCCTCCAAGGGCACGAGCACGTTGCTAATGAAGAATTCGACAAAGCCATGGCCGCATACCGCAACGCCATTAGTGCCGATAACAGGCACTACAATGGTTGGTACGGCCTGGGTGGTGTGTACGAGCGGTTGGGCAAATACGAAGTCGCTGAGAAGCATTATCGCGCCGCGGCTCAGATCAATCCGAACAATGCCATGATTCTTGTCCGGATAGGTCTTGTACGTAGACCTCCTTGCTCCCCCTCCCTTGCACACCCCATACTGACCCCACACACCAGGTCCTCGACCGTCTCAAGCAGACGGAGCCCGCGCTCCTCCAATTCGAACTCGCGCTCAAACTCGATCCGCGCTCCATCATGGCCCGATTCCGCAAAGCCCAACTCTTGCTCAAACTCTCGGCCTCGGACGAGGCCCTGCACGAACTCCTTTACCTCAAGGACGCGGCGCCAGACGATGCCAATATCCACTTTTTGCTCGGCAGATGCTACAAGAAGGTTGGTGATCGGGCGAATGCTATTCGCCACTTGACCGTGGCGATGAATTTGGATCCAAAGAGCCATGCGGTGATCAAGGAGGTCATGGAGGGGATTGATGGGGATGACGAGGGCGGGTGGAGTAGTGAGGAGGAGTCTTGAGGTTTTTTTTGGAGGATGGGGATGGGGGGATGGGGGACAGAGGGTTGTTCGTGGTTTTGCCTGGCGTGGGAAGAGATGATGATTGATGATGACGATGAAAGCATTCCTACACCACACACACATACGCCGTACCTCACACCCCCGAACAAGACAAAAACTTTATAATCTTAAAGATCTCATGGCTGCCTGCCGCATCCTTTTCTCGAATTTACCCCCCCTGTTCTGCACACCTCATCTCAGCTCAACCCCTCCAACCCCCTAAACCATACCCAGAACAAGAAAAACAATCAAAGGAAAACTGTACAAAACGGAAAAAAAATCAGTCTCCCCAGAAGGAAATCCTCGATATCACAGTTCCGTAGGTTTTGTCCGCCTGCACAGTTTGCGGGGAGGGGAGTGGGGGAAGAGGGGTGGAGAGGGAGAGGCGTAGAGAGGGCAAGGCTGAAATCCGGGTTACAAAGTCAAAAAAAAATATTGGGACCTGTTCACTCGCAGTTTTGCACTACTGCATTGCTCGTACTTGGTGTGATGGGATCGGGTGGAGTGGGGCGCGAGTATAGCCGTTTGTGCTGGGTGAATGCATGTAGCCTTGCGGATAGGACATGCACGGGAAGGCGTTTTGAGCGGGTGGGTTTGCATTTGGGGGTGGAGTTTGAAATGGGAGTTTGAATTTGGCAATGGGAGTTTGAATTGGGCTTGGATATGGAGATTAGCATGGACAAGGGCATGGGGATTAGCATTAGCATTTGGCGTCCTGATCAGAATAATACACGGTTGACGGGGTTTGTTTTATAAAGAGTGTGATTGTTACTTGTGGGTTGGGTTGGGCTGGGTTTTTTGGACCTGTGTTGTTGGAGAGATGTTGGTTGTGGGTATTTGTGGTGGGAGGTAGGGAGGTAGGAGGTAGGAGAGGAGAAAAACATAGCATAATCCAACGTCATGTATTCACATTCACCTCGCAGATATGGATTCAGGGTGTTTTCACTGCATAACCAC